AGTTGGCAGTTTCCTGCCCCCAAAGGGAAGATCTGATCATTGTCCTTTGTTTCAGTCCATGCTGAATCCACTCCCATATGCAAGTTCTTTGTGATCTTGATGGTCTTCTGTCTAGGACCATCAGGGTTGGCATAGCAACTGGGCAGGGCTGACCAGAACCAAGCCACCCCCCTTTGATAGTCCTTGTCATATGGAGTAAAATAAAAATGGAACAGTGCAAATCCGATGTATGGTTGATTTTTCTATGAATTTATAACAGAAGTGTGGCATATGTAGTGTGTGAGTGTGAGTGTGTGAAGTTTGTACAAATTGAATGATTGGGGTGGGGGGTTCCTGCTACACCACCAAGGAATTGAGAGCCATCAGCTATCTGCACCTGGTTTTGCCAGCCAGTTGAAGCCGTTCCTGGGCTGTTGCTGCTGTTGCGTGTTGACCGGTGAGAACTGAGTGCAGGGTAGGGACCAAAGGTGGACAGACTATCTCAAAAGGAGCACCTCTCAATCTCCTCTTCTACAGGCTAAACCCAGCTCCCTCAACTGTCCCCCATACGGTCCCTGGCCCCTCTAGTCCAGCATCCTGAGTTCTCACTGTGGCCAACAAGATGCCTCATTTGGGAAACCCAGAAGGAGAACGATGTGCTGGATGGGCTCTTGCTCTGATCCAGAAGGCTCTTCTTAGTTATTACTTTATTTATTTATCACCGGAAGACCGCAGGGCAGTTTCCAGCGTAGAATCATCTTCTTGGGGAGACCACAGGAGGGGAAGAGGGGGTCCTGCTCCAGATCAGGATGCGGACCAGATGGGCCTGATCCTGCAAGCTCTTCCGCAGCCTGCCTCTTGACCCCCGGGGAATCCTGCGCTCTGCGGGGAGGGAGCTGATTTGGGGTTGGAGAGGGCGGTGTCAGCAGCAGCCCCTCTTCCTGCCCGCCCCAGTCCCAGGTGCAGGAGCGTCCCGACGTGGCCTCTTGCCGTGACACACGCGAGAGGCCTCCTGGATGCCGTGGGGGGGGGGGGAGGTTACGGGAGGACGCGGCTGGGGGCGGCTTCTTCCTTGGAGGGCAGCCAAGCCCCGGGCCCTCTTTGCAACAGACTCCACCCTCCCGCTCCTGTTTGGGGGCCGGCGGCGCCTTTCCAGCGAAGCCCCCCACCCACCCCCTTTGCAAAGTCAGCAGCAACGCTGCGCGGGCCGCCGGGCCCCCGGGAGGGGAGGTCGGGGGCGCCCCCCGCCCCACATTTCTGGCCAGCTGCCAAGGCCGGGCCCGGGTCCCCAGAGCCGGGGCAAGCAAGGAGACGCTCGCTCGCAGCAGCCACCTGGGGGCTTCCGTGCTAAGGAGGAGTCGCCTGCCTAATTGAAGGGAGCGCGTGATCCTGTGCCAAGGCAGGATCCCTCGCAGGAGGGGGCGGGACAGGCGGGGGCGCACGCGGCCGGGGCAGGTACGGAGAACCTCAGCAAGCCGCATTTCCACCGGGAAATTATCTATCTATCTATCTATGGCTTTTAGTCCGATCGTTGCATTTGAATGCGCCCCTTTGAAGGTGCGACGAGACCCAGGAAATATCTCCAGGAGACCCTGCGCTAGCCTAGGAAGGAAAACCTGCCGTGGTCTCCTGTCTTTGTACAGTACCTCAGTGGACTAGCTGCTTTTATTTTATTTTAATTTAGTTTATTAATTTTACTTTAATTTGTTTTAGTCGAAACAAAATAAAAAAATTCCTTCCAGTAGCACCTTAGAGACCATTTAAGTTTGTTTTTAGTATGAGCTTCCGTGTGCAGGCACGCTTCTTCTTCAGGTATCTTTCCAGATACCTGGAAACAAGACATTTTGCTGCCGGAGGCAACCAACAAGATGCCGTGTGTGTCCCTTCCATGTTCTGAAAGTGACTGGACTGAGAGATGACTCCGGATAGCAGCATCGCCCAGGACATCTGATGGCGTCTGGCTAGTTTAGGGGCTGCAAGACGTTCCTGTTCCTGCTCTCGAGGAGAGGGGAACAGCCAAGGAAGTGGTGCTTCCGCCGCCCCTCAGCTATGCCACCTGGAGCAGTTGCCTCCCTCTGCCCAATAGTCGTACCGGTTCTGCTTCTTTATGCCTCCAGAACATCACAGCAGCTATTAAATTTCACTGGCTGGTTGGTTTCATCAGCAAGTCACCTGCATTGATTGTTAATGGTGGTCTAAACCACAGAGCCTAGGGCTTGCCGATCGGAAGGTTGGCAGTTCGAATCCCCACAACGATGGGGTGAGCTCCCATTGCTCGGTCCCTGCTCCTGCCAACCTGGCAGTTCAAAAGCACATCAAAGTGCAAGTAGATAAATAGGTACCACTCCGGCGGGAAGGTAAACGGTGTTTCTGTGCGCTGCTCTGGTTCGCCAGAAGCGGCTTAGTCATGCTGGCCACATGACCCGGAAGCTGTACGCCGGCTCCCTCGGCCAGTAAAGCGAGATGAGCGCCGCAACCCCAGAGTCGTCCGCAACTGGACCTAACAGTCAGGGGTCCCTTTACTTTTACCTATGTCTTATAAGAACATCAGAATAAGAGGCTGCTGGATCCAGCCAAAGGCCCATCCAGTCCACCATCTCCTCACCAATGGGACTCTTCTCCCATTATGGGAAACCAGCAAGCAGGATCCGAGCGCAAGAGCAACTCTCCCCTCCTGTGGCTCCCAGACACTGGCTCTCAGAAGCATTGCTGCCCCCACAGCGAAGGCAGAGCAGAGCCATCATGGCAGGATGCTGCCAATAGCCCTTTTCTGCCTGAATCTACCCAGTGCTCTTTGAAAGCCAGCAAGTTCTTTCTTTTATCCCTCCCGAGTCTTCCCACTTAGCCAGGCAGTATAAAGAATAACCCCCTGCTGGCTTCTGATACGTGTTGTATAAATGCTTTTACAAATAAGTAGCTGGAGACAAAGCTCCCACGGAGGTGATTGGGGCACCCGCCTCCTGGCACCCCCATGTTGCTCTGACAGAATGCCCTAGATAGGGCATAGTTCTGGAGCAGGCTTCCCTGGCTCTCCTGGCATCCAGGGTGGGGCAGATGGGAGCCATACGAGGTTGAGAAAGCTATTCGGGAGGATCTTGAGGAAGTGGGGCATTGAGTCACCACCACAACATGAAGGCATCTGGTCGGACACTTTGAGAACAGGATGATGGGTCATGGGCCTGATCCAGCAGCCTCTTCTCAGGCTCTGCACAGAAAAACAAAAACAGGCACACCCGCCCCCTTAGACATTCGTGACTCTGGCAGTTGGTTTCGTAACAAAGGAACCAGGGGAGGCCTGTTGTTGCAAAACAAGGCACGGGCCTGTTGCTCTCCTTAGCGAGTCCCAAAGGTTGAGGGCTACCACCAAAAAGGCCCTCTCTCCTTTCCCCACAGCTCCACGGAGTCCAATGATTTTGGGCGGTTTTAAAAGAGGACTGTGGGACATGGGTGGCCTTGTGGGTTAAACCACAGAGCCCAGGACTTGCCGATCAGAAGGATGGCGGTTCGAATCCCTGCGACGGGGTGAGCTCCCATTGTTCGCTCCCTGCTCCTGCCAACCTAGCAGTTCGAAAGCATGTCAAAGTGCAAGTAGATAAATAGGTACCGCTCCGGCGGGAAGGTAAACGGCATTTCTGTGTGCTGCTCTGCTTCACCAGAAGCAGCTTAGTTATGCTGGCCACATGACCCGAAAGCTGTACGCCGGATCCCTCAGCCAATAAAGTGAGATGAGTGCTTCAACCCCAGAGTCGGCCACGACTGGACCTAATGGTCAGGGGTCCCTTTACCTTTACCTTTAAAAGAGGACTGGACAAATGCATGAAGAACAGGACAATCGATGGCTATTAGCCATGAAGGAGGCTATAAGGACATAAGAAGGTAGGACGAGCCTTCTGGATCAGGCCAGTGGGTTACCTAGTCCAGCATCCTGTTCCCACAGTGGCCAATCAGATGCCAGTGGGAAACCAGCAAGCAGGATCCCAGCACAAGAGCAACTCTCCCCTCCCGCGGTTTCCAGCGACTGGCATTCAGATGCCTGCCTGTCTCTGACCAGAGAGACAGCGCATTGCCATTATGGCTGGCTGCCTCCAATAGCCCTCCTGGAATTGGCCTAATCCTCTTTTAAAGACTGGTGGGCACCACTGCCTCCTGAGGCAGGGAGTTCCATAGTTTAACTATGTGCTGCATGAAGGACTTTCTTTATGGGACCTGAATCTTCCAACGTTCAGCTTTAAAACCATTAAGGAGTTGTGTTGGAAACCATATTTGGAAGCCGCCGCAAAAGTCGAGGAATACCCCAGAGGTCCCTGGCTTAGCAAGGAGGAAGATTTTTGGATGACTCACCAGCTAAACTGAGAAAGGAATCTTTGTAAAGCCTTTGTCCCTTTCTCTCCTTCATTTGTCTACCTCTCATAACCATGTCAGTGGATTACACGGCACTTTCCAGAACCATCGCTCTGTTTTTGCTCTGTTTGTAGCACTAATTGACCTCCCCGGGGGGCACAGATGGGGTCCAAAGGAAAGCAGAGCCAAGAAGGACATTTGGCACCATCATCATCATTTCTTCTTTATGCCCTGCCCATCTGGCTGGGTTTCCCCAGCCACTCTGGGCAGCTCCCAACAGAATATTAAAAACATGACAAATACATCAAACATTAAAACCTTCCCTAAACAGATGTCTTCTAAAAGTCAGATAGTTGTTTAATTCCTTGACATCTGGTGGGAGGGCGTTCCACAGGGCAGGCGCCACCACCGAGAAGGCCCTCTGCCTGGTTTCCTGTAACCTCCCTTCTTGCAGCGAGGGAACCACCAGAAGACCCTCAGAGCTGGACCTCTGTGTACAGACTGAATGATGGGGGTGGATACGCTCCTTCAGGTCTACTGGGCTGAGGCCATTTAGGGCCTTAAAGGTCAGCACCAACACTTTGAATTGTGCTTGGAAACGTACCGGGAAGTGCAGGGTGGGAATAGGACCCCCACCTCATATATTTACCCTGGATGTGTCAGTGTCCTCCTCCTCCTCCTCCTCCTCCTCCTCCTCCTTTTCCCTGCTCCCCCCAGGACAACCCACCAGAAAGAAAATCCTGGGGGCCAGCAAAGCAAAAACCCGTTACTATTCAAAATGCAGCGCATATTTATAAAATATAAATATTATTCCAGATACAGAAAGAAAAGCAAAAATTGTCAACAAACGTCGTAATGGGAAACAAAAATAAATAAGAAGGGCGAGTTTAACAGTACGGAGGCTTTTTCGGGTCTGCTTGGGAAGATCTTCTGCTCTCTTCCTGACTTGAGTCTTTCAGAGCAGCCCTCCCCACAAGACACACACACACACTCACACAAGAGAGCCCTCCAGCTCACAGAGCAGGGAAGGAATGCAACACCCTGAATGACCCATCACACCCTCGGAAAAAACGTTTTGGTCTTGCAACTGAAATGCCACCTAAGGGGAAATGGGAGAGTTGTAAAAGGCTCTTTCTAAGAAGTCTGAGCACAGCACCTTAGCTGCTCCCTTGACGCGGAATTCCTCCCGCCCACCCTTGCACTGAAACCCCCAGGTGCTGAGAGCAGACGCGGGGAGAGGGAGGAGGGGCTCTCCCTCTGCCTCAAAGGGAAGGGAGTCAGGCAAGGGCACCTGGTGTGCAAAGGCACAGAGGCCTCCTTCCTCCTCGAGAGAGTCAGGATGAAGCCCTAGCTGCCCTCAGCTGTGCTTGAATCCATGAACACCCAGACCAGGAAGAGACCTTTGCAGAGCAGAAAGCCTGGACTGGACCATGCAGGTTTGGAATGGGGACCATCCATTTCCCACTCACTACATCTTGAAGAGTGAATCACAGAATCAGAAGGGATCCCCCAAAGGTCATCCAGCCCAACCCCCGGCTGATGCAGGGAAACCGCCTGCTGCAGAGTCACAGAAGGGATGCCCCACTTGGGGAAGCTGTCAAGCTCCTCTCTGTCTTCTTTGTGCCACTTGCCTTAGTATCACAGAACTGTAGAGTTGGAAGGGACCCACGGGTCATCTAGTCCAACCCCCTGCCTTGCAGCTGAGAGCCCCTTTGCAATCATTTTTCTTAGAGGGCTGAAGGCAGTAGGAAAGAGGGGGGTGCTGCTTGTAGTTTGGATACCCCCCCCCGAACCCTTTACCTCTGCTGAGCACATTTTGAAGGCTTCCCCATTGTTCCAGAAACTTGACTGGGGGGGACTGAAGGCAGGCACTTTGCACATGGGAAGTGAAGTCTTCCACAAACCACCATCTCCATCCACAGAGGGCAAGATGGGCATTTCCTGGAATCTTGATCTGCAGGAGAAGAACTTTTCTGAGCACGAAGAAGAACATTCTGATGGGAAGAAGGTGGTGGAGGTTTAAAAGCAAAGGTTGGTTGGCCACTTGCCAGGGATAATTCGGCCGTGATCCCTGCTTTGCAGGGGGTTGGGACCAGATTGTTCTCCAGTTCTATGATTCCATGAGGAATTCTGCCTCTGATGGCCTGCATCTAATGCCCTGCTGCTTATTAACGTGTCTTCCTCCGTAAACTCGAATCCGGGCCCTGGGTGAGCGGTAGGGGCATGTTCTGCATGAAACGGGGACTGGGAATCACTAAACATTCCCACGCCCACGGCCTCTGGCCTGCCCTGCTGCTCAGCTCAAAACCACACAAACACACACACCCCTCCCCCACCCCAGGCTGCATTTTGCTGAAAATAACAACAAAAATATTAAATTATGGGTTTTGTCATTACATGCACCAAAGTGTCGTTTGCCCAGGAGTGATTCTGAAGAATGAGAAGGAAGCGCTGGCTTGCCCCGTGTGCCAAAGACGCAAACCCAAGTTTTGCTTAATTTGGATCCACGTGGGTGATATTGCTACATTCATTATTCCGAGGTCTGAAAAGTTAACAGCGGGATCTACTCTTCAAATACGTTGCTCCTTTTTTCTTCTCTTTTTTGCAGTATATAACCTTGAACCTATCCAAAAGCAAGACTTGGACCATGCTGAATTGCACCTCCACCCTGGAACAACCCCCCCCCCATAGAAATCTGAACCAGCCCCATCCTGCCCTGCCTTGCCCCACTGAAGAGCTCTGTGTCGCTGGAGACTCCGCTCAGGCAGCGAAGAAGAGGGCTACTGAGGAACAACTTCTGCTCCTGTGTTCTGGCATTCAGGTTTCTTGGGGGGGGGGGTCGCCTCTCACTTTGCCTGATCTGAGTCTCACCAGAGAGCATGAGAGAGCCAAACCGGCCCTCCAAAATGAAAAAGGAAAAACGGAAGCCCCTCCAAAGGATAGGGAGTCCCCCTTTTTGAACCACGCATCTCACATGGAGCAAACTTGTTTTCTGCTGCTCTGGAGAGGAAGACCCGGACATCGAATTCAAATGACAAGGAAGGAGATTAAGCAAAACATTAGGAAGGACTTTCTGGTGCTAAGAACCATTTAACAGTGGAATGGATGTTGACTGGCCATCTGTCAGGAGCTGCTTAGCTCCTGGGCTGGACTAGATGACTCTAGGGGTCCCTGCCTACCTACCCTTCTATGATTCCCCTGCAGTCTCCCATTCATGCAAACCACAACCAGACACAATCGAGTGACCCCCCCGCCCCTCCCCGCAAACTGAGCTGCCCCCAAACTGAGTCAAGTCTACCCTGAGAGAGGATGCCCAGGAACAAAGTGATGGTCCAGGAACATTCGCAGATCAGTTCCTGCTGCAGGTAAATGTGTGACTGTTTTGCTCCGAGGCTGGTTTTGCTGTCATCACAGATATCGTAACCTGAGGCGTTTTGCTTCTTGCATAGGTGTTGCACCCTGTGGGTGAGGTTTAACCCGACCAGGAAAACAAAGAGACTCTGTGCGTTTGCACACAGACGCGCCCGCACACCCTAGCAGTTCTGAACGTGGTCCAGGTACTTCGCGATGCTTTCTAGGCACTTGTGGAGTCGGTCCAAGGTCACCACGGCTGTCGTGTATGGGGAGACGGTCATCAGCTCCGTGAGGTTGCCCAGGGTGTCGGCTGCGGAAGGTCTGCGAAGCAGGCAGCCCAGGTGGGAGCTCAGCATCTGAAGGAGGCTGCGGAGGTTCTCCACGTCGTTGGAGATTTGCACCACGGGGGCCTCCAAAGGCAGGCTGGAGAGGACCTGGTGGAAGATCTGCAGGGTCTCATCGATGGCCTCCAGGCTTTCTGCCGGCAGCTGCCCAGGGATGAAATCAAACCCGTTGATCTTCAGGTTCACTGGAGGAAACTGCAATGGGAAGAGGGAAATCGCAGGAGGTTAAGCCAAGCTCTGCTGCAGATGACAGCAAGGCTTAAAGGTAAGGTAAATGGACCCCTGACCATTAGGTCCAGTCGTGGCCAACTCTGGGGTTGCGGCACTCATCTCACTTTGTTGGCTGAGGGAGCCAGTGTACAGCTTCTGGGTCATGTGGCCAGCAGGACTAAGCCACTTCTGGCGAACCAGAGCAGCGCATGGAAACGCCATTTACCTTCCCGCCAGAGCGATACCTATTCATCTACTTGCACTTTGACGTGCTTTCGAACTGCTAGGTGGGCAGGAGCAGGGACCGAGCAACGGGAGCTCGCCCCATCGTGGGGACTGGAACCACCAACCTTCTGATTGGCAAGTCCTAGGCTCTGTGGTTTAACCCACAGCGCCACCCACGTCCCTGACAGCAAGGCTTAGCCTCAAGGAAAATGGAAGGAAGGAGGAAGGGCTGCTTTCCCAAAGCAAGAGTGTCACCCAGTGTGTTGTTGCTCACACCACTCTGGAGCACATGAGACAGGCGCATGCCTTGAACACTTGTACCACAGAATGCCAAACTGACACCCGTCCTCTCTTGGAAGGTGCCCAGAGTGGCTGGGGAAATCCAGTCAGATGGGCGGGGTGCAAGAAATTGTTGTTGTTATTATTATGGCAGGCTTGGCAGGGAGGGTTAAAATGTTTACCGCAGAGAAGTCCTGGCCCATGACCTAAATAAACTCTCAAAGCACCTACATATTATTCTCCTCTACAACCCTGAAAAATAGTACAGCTCCAAGACTTCAATTGGTCCTAATTTGGCCTAGTTATTGCATGTTTCAGTTGCCTAAGAACCACTTGTGTTCTGCTGAGCATATTCCCAGGTGAGCATGCACAAGGGATGGGTTCCAAAGAGCTGCCATTTGAGGCCTCTTTGCAATTTCTTGGCATTTGCCGCTTGCAGGGGGAGAATTATGTAACACCCACCTGCACTTATTGTGCAGTAGCATTTGCAGAAAATAGCTTCTAGGGTGTACCCGACCTCAGTGAACCTACCACAGGAAAGGTGTGTCCTGGTTGCTAGAGAGAAACGAAAGGGGAAGGGGGATAAAAGACTAGAAAACAAGGTGGAAGGGAGAGAGGGAGAACTAAAGGGGAAGGGGAAAACACTAGTTCTTTAGGACCCCAGGAAATCCTATTGGCTGGTTTCCAAACAACTCACTCATCAGTCACAGTTCTGACTTCACTCATTGGCTAAAACACAAAGACAGGAGCAGCTAGGCTGGCTCATTTCACAGAAGGCTGCCTGCACATTTTGTTGTATAACTTCCTTCTAGGAAGCCTAGTTCTTTTTGAATGAAACTCAGCCCCCAATCCCTTTGAAGGCCTGGGCCCTGGTACAATCACTCCAATGCAATTCATCCATGCTCCCCACTCTGATAGCCCGTTGCCGCAGACAGGCACTGAGGAGGGGGCATTCAGGGCTGTCTGGTTTGTGCGCCATGATACTGACTATGCCGTCTGCCTGGGTGGCTAGTACTAATGCAGGAGAAGCCTGGCTTGCTGTCATCAGCTTGGAGGAGAGCAGAAGGTCCTGCAGACTGCAATGAGCTCCAGGAAAACACAGTCAGACCCTGAATGGCCATGATTCTTTTGTGGGGCTGGACTAGATGACCCCTGGGGGACCCTTCCAGCTCTACAATCCAATGCTTCTATGAGTGGGTGGGAAGGAGGGGACGGAGCCTGTTCTTGCCCCACCTCTTACCTGGTGCTCCTGGATCCTGGCCATGATGGTCTTGGTGAGGCTTTTAGTGTCAGCTACGACCTTGTCAATTTTCACAGGCCGGCCGTGGAAGAGGGGCAGCCAGACCCATAGCAAGCCACACAAGGAGATGTTGGGGCAGCGCATCTTCTCCTTCAGCCTGTGCAGATAAAGGGGAAAACCAGTTAGGGCAGCTCCTCTGGCTTTCCTGAGGAAGGGGTGTCCTCACAGGGAACGTGGGTAGAGAGAGAGAAAGTTTTCTCCCTGTCTTGTAACACCAGAAGCCGAAAGTTAGAAGATTCAGGACAGAGAAAAGAAAGGACTTCTTCACGCAGCGCAGAGTTGAACTATGGAACTCCCTCCCACAAGAGGAAATAAAGGTAACCAAATTAGATGGCTTTAAAAGAGGAGGAGACATGGAGGAGGAGAGGGCTTCTGATGGCTTGCCCTCCATGGTCAGAGGCAGCGATGCTTCTGAATCGCCAGAAGGGCTCTTGTGCTCGGATCCTGCTTGTGGAATCCCCTGGCCAGACTCTTTCCCTGCCTGACTTTGGACCAGATGCTGTGATTCCCGCATTGAAGGAGGAGCCTTTGAGGTCCCTTCCAACTCTACAACTCTTCCATTCCACTATGTCTCAGTCTTCCTAAACTTGGAAAGAGACTAACCTTTGTTTTAGGAACAAATGCGCAGGTGAACAACCTCATAGGGTGGTTGTTGGGAGATAAAAGATGGGACGGGGTGTGTGTGTGTGTGTGTGTGTGTGTGTGTCTGCATGACACTCCCTGAAGGAAAAACAAGTGAAAAACAAAATGGGCAGAACAGAACATCACCACGGACCTGAAAGATGTCCTTTTTTAATTATCTTGCATGTTAACCTTTTCCCTGGAAAGACTCCTTTGGCTTCCTCTACTCATCACATTGTTGGTAAAGTTGCTGAGTGTGCTGAGCTGGTCAAACCTCTGGAGTGAGTGACTCCCCCCCCCCCAGTGGGGGTCTTGCTTCCCTAACTCCTCTCACCTACCCGGAAGGGCTCTTAGCAAAGTCCACTTGGGCAGGAGAAGTCTGCCAAAGCAGGTGAGTGTTAGAGGCCCTTGAGAATCGATTTCCTTATACACCCCCCTCCTCCTTACAGTGTGCAAAAAGTAACGCGAGCACAAACTTAATGAACGGAGCAAATTAAAATTAGAGTGACGCAAATGAGTGACATTGTAAAACAACAGAGGGAGATGATCTGTACCTGAAAGTTCAGGCCGGCTGGGGAGAGGAGTGATGGGGCTCACCTGCGCCCCAAAACATAAGCTGTGAAATTTCGCAGTAGGGGGAGATTTCTGGCCCTTGCACACCTGCCCATTTCTCAAAGACCCTCAATCTACAAAGCCTCCGTAAGTAGCTACCTTTCTTGGTGTTCACCAAGCCAACCGAAAACACATCGCAATCCATTGTAGTTGCTACTTCTTGGGGAAGAAAATCCAACAGTACAGTTTTGTGCTGTGTGGGAAAAAGTATTTCCTTTTCCTCTAGGTTGTGTCCAATGCTGGCCATACTCAGAGTAGGGCCACTGATGCTATTGGACATGGCTAACTTTGGTTCACTGACTTCATCGGGTCTACCCAGGGCCATATTTAGGTTTGATGAGGACCTAAGCTTTGTCAACAACAAATTGTCGCTGTTTTTTGTGTTGAATATATGCTATATGGTAATTTATGGACCTAATCGGTATCTCAAGCCATTTGCACATGTTGCCCTGCAACCAGTCCATGCAGAATGTAGGCACCCTATATCTAGAAAGGAGCAAAAAAATGAAATTTTAGGGAGCAGGCTAGCAGGCGGGGCCCATGACTTACATCATAGGAGCCGACACAACACAAAACACTGTTGCTGGATGTAGGTTTTATTTTATTGTTGTTTATTTTATATTTTTGAAATATACATCCAGTTTTTTCCCCTTTAATTTTTTTTGGGGGGGCCCCCAAGAGTATGGGGCCCTAAGCTAGAGCTCGTTTAGCTTATACACACTGGGTCTACCCCAAGTTGAACTCAGTTGGATGCAAGCCCAGCCCTCAATCTCCCAACATCCAGCTTCCTGGATGGCCCTGCAGAGTTACACCCCGCCTTTTCCTCCATGGAGCTGAAGGTGGCATAGCATAGCAGAATCACAGAATTGGAAGGGACCCCGAGGGTCATCCAGTCGAACCCCCTGCAATGCAGAAGTATGCAGCTGTCCTGTACGGAGATCAAAGCTGCAAACTTGGCATTATCAGCACCACGCTCTAACCAACTGAGCTATCCAGGCTGGCTCACACTGTTCTCTCCCCACACAACCACCCTGCGAGGAAGCTTAGGCTGAGAGGCATTGCGACTGACCCGAAGTCAGTGGGCCAAGTGGGGAGGATTCAAACCCTGGTCTCCCAGGCCCCAGTCTCACACTCTTCCTAACCAGGACACCACACTGGCTGTCTGAATGGCTCTCCTGAGTTCTGGCCTTGCGAGGGGGTGAGGGAAGACTCCTCCAGGAAGCAGCGTCTTCCAAGCTGCCTGGCATGAGGCGTGGTGCCCAGCAGCTGCCACACCAAGGGCACCGGCGCTTCTGCCTCCCCCGCTGAAGTTCCCACTGACGGTGTTTACCACGGCAAGATCCCGGCCGCATCCCAATGTTTCTGGAGTTTCACTTCAAAACATCTCAAGGAAGGAGGACTCCGTGCACCAGGTGGGAAGGAAATTAAGGCAGCCCAGCAAATCCGCAGGGCCCGTTGGGCATGTGTGTTTCCTGAGAATCTCAAGCAGCGCCGTTGACAGTTTTGGCAACATCTGGCTGTCAGTGGCAAGCAGGAACAGAGTCTGCCTGCCTGCCTGCCTTCTCAGGGCCCATCCAGCTGCACTGCACCCCACACACATGGGTGTTACATAAATCCGACCGCCGTGATAACAGAGCGGCAAACACGACGCCGAAATGAGGAATCCGGGGCCAGCAGCACAGCGAAGTGGAGGCTTCTCTGACACTAAGGACACTAAGGGACAACTTGTCGGCATCGGAGGCTGACATGAATAGGTGTCTTTGATGCTCGCTGCTTCTCTCGCTGAAAGTCAAAAGGGGGTGTGGCTCAGCGGCAGAGCACAGGGCTCCCTGGCAGAATCCTAGAATTGTAGACTTGGAAGGGACCCCAAGGGTCATTCAGTCCAACCCGCTGCAATGCAGGAATTGGCAGCTGTTCCCTACAGGGATAATCAAATCTGAAACCTTGGCATTCTCAGCACCAGCTAGAGAAACTGGTAGGAGAACACTTCAATCTCCCAGGACATTCTATACAAGATCTCAAAGTAGCTGTCTTATTACAAAAGAATTTCAGAAATAGACTTGAAAGTGAAGTTGCTGAACTGCAACTTATTACTAAACTTAAAAACATGGAGAGACCTGGTCTGAATAGAGACATTGGATTCTTATCTCATTATACATGATAAAGCTATTTTTGGCCATCTCACCCCTCGCTTTTTCCTGTAAGACCAGTTGCAGTCCTTAACAGTTGTCAACAGGTTTAGCACACCTATCCGCCAATCACCCATTCCCACCACCCTTCTGAGTAATACCCCTCCCCACCCTCCTACTATATATAAGGGTCTGGTGACTTCTGTTTCAGTGTATCTGAAGAAGTGTGCCTGCACACGGAAGCTCATACCAAGAACAAACTTAGTTGCTCTCTAAGGTGCCACTGGAAGGATTTATTTTATTTTATTTCAACTACGGCAGACCAACACAGCTACCTACATGTATTTAGCACCAGGTAGGGTTAGGAGAGACTCCCTGTCTGAAACCCCACAGAGACATCACTGCCAGTTGGTGCAGTCAGCACTGAGCCCAAAGGGAATTTCCTAAGCTCTCAAAAAGCTACTCCAAGTGCCCGCAGAGAAGAGCTCAAGAACAGAGCTGTTAGGCAGTGGAAGGGTCTTCCAGGAGAGGTGGTGGGCTCTCCTTCCTTGGAGGATTTTAAGCAGAGCTTGGATGGCCACCTGTCATGAATGCAGTGGCTGAGATTCCTGCATTGTGGGGGGTTGGACTACATGACCTTTGGTGTCCCTTCCAACTCTACGATTCTAGAATTCCATGAGCCTAAGAAAGCGAAGCAATGCTAGGCCTGCGCTTGGAGTACTGCAGAGAAACCCAGAGTCCAAGGATCTCAAAGGATCCCTCTTACCTGAGCAGAAGGCTGCCCAAACCCATGGCCTGCAAAGTTGGGTCACAACTTGGGTTCTGCCCCTTCACTGCCACCTGATGGTGCCCACTGCCCAGCCTGGCATTTGGGGCTGACCAGGCTGCCCCCTGGCCTGTTTCATTTGCCGGAGCCTGGAAGTGGGACCTCGGAGCCAGCAGATCAGATGAGGAACGGAGGAAGCGGCTGTCCCACGCTAGAGGCAGAGCACTGGGGTCAGTCTAGTTCTAGTGAAGCCTCCAGGATTTCTGGTGGGGAAACTCCCCCAGCTTTGCCCATGGAGATTGTGCCAGCGACCTTTGGGGTGACTTTCTGTGCCACTGTGAGGAAAGGAGGGTGGACTAGGTGGGACCCGGTCTGATCCCGCCAGGCTCTTTGGGGATTCTTTGGTTGCGGTTCCTGCATTGGAGGGGGTTGGACTAGATGGCCTTTGGGGTGCTCTGTCATTCCATGACTCTTCTTATTTTCTACATACACAGCAGTGCACTGAGCCACTGACCTTCCCCAAATGACTGGGGGACCATTTTCTAGGAGAGCAGAGCCCGACCCCCCCCCCCAAATTCTCATGCCCCAGTCCAGAGGCTCCACACTCCACGTCGCTCACCTTTTCCCCATCCAGGCCCAGTTTGTCTAGAAGAGCAGTTCTCAGAGCCCCAGGGAGAAATCTGGGCTCTTGCTTGGCTTCATCCTGCTCCAATTTCCCAGAATCAGAGCTGCTGGAGGATGGGGGGGGCAGCTAAGCCTGTGGAAAACCCCTGGGGCTCCCCTCCTGCCTTTTCAGACTGACCTCCCCCCTCTTTACTTCAGAACCAGGAGATCCCGAGTCTCACACTTGTCCGGCAGCACCGCGAGGCCGGCTAAGCACAGGCGCTCTGCACATGCTCTCTGGGGGTCTTTCCTCCGGCCCCGCCGCCTCCCTCCCTCCCTCCGAGGCAGCTGACCTGCCTTTCTTTCCCATTTCGCAAAAGCGAGCGGAGCAGGAGGGAGTTGGTCCTATCCCCGCACATCCTTCCCAGAACCGGCCCAGCCCGGCCTCCCGGGGTGAAGCGAGGCGAAGCGAAGCCGGGGTCAGTCCGGGGCGGCAGTGCGGACGCCCCCTCGGCCCCGAAAAGCCCTCCGACTCCCCACCCCAACACACGTCGTCCTGCCGTCCTCCGTCCTGCCCTCCTCCGCTCCTCAACCGGTCAGTTCCCCTGGCGAGGCAGTGAATGGGAGATGGAGACGGTAAGGGGATCCGGGGAGATCTCACGCTCCCCAGCGGCCCCGGGTCTCCCCTCCCAGCCGCCCAATTTGCAGGGCCGGCCTTCGGAAGAGGTGCCGGGCCAGGCGGACACAAACCACCTCGCCCTTGGGAAGTGAGGGAAGCAGCAGTCAGGAAAAAGCCGGAGCTAGACGCACGTGGAGGAAAAGGCCGGCTGAGCTCCTCGGCCTTTTCTCCCAGAGGGATGGGGATCTGTGGGGAGAGAAGGAAGAGGTACGGGTACCCCACCGGCTAGGCGGCTTTCCTCTAGCCTGGAAGCCTCAACGCCTAACCTGCGACGAAGCACCCCGTGGTAAAGGATGTCTGCATGCGCTCAGAGGCACTCTGCGGCTTCCAGCGCCGCGCGAGCGGACAGCTTGGCTCCAGGAGTCCTGACAGTCCCAAGCGGATCGATAAGGGAGGTTCACCCCTGGAGCAAGCTCCCCATCACCCCTGCCCGCCCCCTCCATATTCAGGCACCTCCCCCCAGCCTCGGCTCACCTCTCTCGCGCTGCCTCCGCCGGCCTTCTGAGGCTCCATCGCCGCCGCGACACTTTTATAAGGCGCGCCGGGTTGCACAACTCGCCCGGCCGCGGCCCGGCCCCTCCCTGCCCGGCCCGGGGCGGGGGGGCGGCGCGGGCGGGCGGGCGGGCGCGGGAGGCGGGGACCCGCGGCGCGCGCAAAACCCCCTGCCGCCGCCGCCGCCGCTACCCCGGGAGCCCCGAGCGCTGCCCCGGAGGGAGGGGAGGGGGGCAAGGCTTTTTGGGAAAAGGAGCCGCCCAAATGTATTAGAGAAAAGGGGTCAAAAGGGGACGTCCAGGTAGGAACTGACGCCTCCCGCAACCAAACGCGTTTATTTCCTCGCCTTTTTCTAAGAAAATACCCAGGAAAGAAAAAAATCAGAAAGAGGAAATAGGGGAAATGTGTTTTTGCATGTCCCCACTAACCCCTGGAAGAAATTAAAAATATTTTAGCTTAATTAACGGTTACTGAATTTGTGTTTGGTGAACTTCAGGGGTCGGGGCAGTGCGCGCTGGTCGTGGGGTGGGGGAGAGACCTTCTGTCCAGATTTTTTGGGGATCCCCCGCACCCGGTTTTGAATTCAGTCCAGAGTGAAATCCGGCGCTCGCTCCAAAGCCGCTCCGGTTCCACGCCTCGCTCGACTTCGGGGCTGTTCTGGTGATCTCTATAAATGATTTTTTAAGGGAAAAATACCAGCAACAATATTTATCACAAGGAAAGGGGTCGAAAATGAAATCGCCGGCTTCCAACGGGCAAGTCTGGGGTGCGGCGCCGCTGCGGGCGCAAAACGGTTCAGAAAAGGCAGCCGAAGATCCTCAAGCCGGTAGAGCGGCTCCCCTGAGAGGGAAGGGGGCAGCTTGGGGGGGGAAAAGCTTTTTAGTACCGAGAAAAAGCGAGGAAGAGGCGACGTGATAGGAGGGCATAAAAGGAAACCCGGCGTGGAGAAAGTGGAGAGAGAAAGAAAAGTTTTGCTCACGTAAAAATTGCTCTCTCGCGAAACGGAAGGTCGGGAGATTCTGGACAGGCAAAAGTCCTTCACGCAGCGCAGAGTTAACCCACGGAACTCCCTCCCGCAGGAGGAGGGGATGGCTATCAACCTGGGCGGCTTTAGAAGAGGGTGGGAGGAGCGGCCATAACTGAGGGGGGGGGCTCTTCCTTTTCCCTCTTCTTGAGGCCAGATGCTGAGGAGATGCGGAAGGAGAAGGGCCGGAGCCGGCGCGCCCTGCGGCGGAGCTGCGTGGGGACCTGGGATCCAACCCGATCCACCGCCGCTGGTCTCCTCCTGTGCTGTCGTCGCTGGATTTCACTCGGTGGCTGAGTTGTTGTTCTGGTGCCATCGAGGCTGACAACCTCAACTCATGTGTCTCGTCCAGAACTGTAACTCGATGCTTTATATTGTTTCACAATTAAAATTATGGCTAACGATGAATAATTTATTATCAATAATTAACGTTGTCAATTATTATTAACGATATTTATCCGCTGCCCGACCACCAGCGTTCTCTGAGCGATCTACAAATGCAAAATACAGCATAAAACCGAAATAGCCAACGCTTTGAGAATTCGTTTTGGCTTTCTATATACATGCATATATATAAAAAATTCTATATCAAGAACAAATTCGAAACTCCAACCTCCGCCCCAAAAGAGAGAAAGTTTTTAAGACTCCAGCTCGACTGGCGAACCCGAATTCGTAGCGCGCGCCACAGGGTCATCCTATTCTCGATAGAAACCCGCAAATTTTGGGTGGGTGGGTGGAGAAACGGGGTCCGGGGAAATCCCCTCCTCGGCCATTCCGTGTCAACAGTATTATTTTAGAAACCTCTACAGCGTTCTTTTCGGATTTGCTGATCCGGCCTCGGTCCCTTTTTGTAAACGTTCCCTTGCGCCCTTGAAAATAAATATTTATAAACCCCCAATCGGGGGCGATAATTTTGGCCTAACGAAATGTGAACGAAGACCCTCCCACAAAGTTAAAACAAGGGAGGATTTAACGCCAGGAACAAAAGTGACTTTTTGCTTGCAACGAAGCTACGCTTAATTTCGCTGGTGCATTTTCAAATATATGCCAGGCAGGAAGCCTCGAGTTTCCACGGTCGTCCTTTGCAGAGACTCCGCCTGGAGGAATCCCCCCCCCGCCCCGCCCCACGTCGAATTGGGAGCGAGGGTCTTCCCCCTTCAACCCCTGCCCAACGCTGGATTTTATTGCGAGGCTAGGAAATATAAGCGCGTGTTTTTGGAGAGGTTTCCAGTGGTCTAAAGGATATTGCGCTCACTGGAAGGACAGATCGTGAAGCTGAGGCTCCAAGACTTTGGCCACCTCATGAGAAGAGAAAACTCCCTGGAAAAGACCCTGATGTTGGGAAAGATGGAGGGCACAAGGAGAAGGGGATGAAAGAGGACGAGATGGTGGGACAGTGTTCTGGAAGCTACCAGCATGAGTCTGACCAAACTGCGGGAGGCAGTGGAAGACAGGAGTGCCTGGCGTGCTCTGGTCCAGGGGGTCACGAAGAGTCAGACACGACTAAACGACTAAACAACAACAAAGGATATTGTAGAGTTGGAAAATGTTCAGAAAAGGTGATCGAAGGGGGTCCCCTAGGAAGAAATATGGCAGCGTTTGGGATTTTTTAGTCCGGAGAAAAAGCGAGTAAAAGGCGACAGGTCAGAAGTATATATAATTATACCTGGCCTGGAGAGGGAAATGTTTTTTCTTCCTGTTTCATAACCCCAGAACTCGTGGGCATCCAAACGAAGCTGAATGTGGGGGAAATCAGGGCAGACAGAAGAAAGTCCTTCTTCACGCAGCGCAGAGATGAACTACGGAACTCCCCTCCACAGGAGCCAATGATGGCACCGGACTTGGATGGCTTTTTATGTTAGCCGCTCTGAGCCCGGCCTCGGCCGGGGAGGGCGGGATACAAATAAAAATTCATTGTTATTTCTTATTATTATATATAAAAGACCAATTCTGGAGGAAGGTGACTCCTAGACGCGATGGAGGCAGCAGCGCTTCTGAATGTCCCTTGCTGGAAGCCGCGGGGGGCGGGGGCTCTTGCGCTCGGATCCTGGACTAGATGGTTCAAGTGGCCTGATCCGGCATGCTCTTCTTAGGTTCTTCTGTCCCCACACCTTGCCCCTGGATCCCCTCCCCTCCCCCGCCCACGGCCGTGTTATCTTTATATTCCCATTCTGCAGATGGATAACTGAGACTGGATCGCAAGGATCCAGGAGGAGCCCAGGGGGACTCTCTCCGAGGTGGGGCTGGAATCTGGGCCCCTAAATACCGCGCTCTATACAACCTGGAAAAACGGACAATGCACGTACAGTACTTTTTGTAAGCAAGGGAAATTAACAACAACAACCGCACTCTAGCGGTCACGAAGCGGTGCTCAGATCCGTAGAATCGGGATTTTGCGTCCCTTTGAAATGTCACATTTGCGACAGAGCTTAGAGAACGCCAAGCCTCTCCGGGAAAGGCGTGAGCCACGAAAGTCTGCCTCTTAGGGAGACATCGGAAGGTGGCGGACTCCCTTCCCTTGGGTAGGTGGCTAATGTGTCAGGGATCCTTGAGCTGCGACCCCCGGGGGTTGGACTAGATGACCCCGGAGCCCCCTTCCAGCTCTACAGTTCTTCGATACTGTGATTGCATGACGCGCGAAGGCTCCTTATCCCTACGGAGCGAGCGCGCCTTTGCCCCGCCGAGCAGCTCCCTGGCGGCCCTTTGGAAATGAAATCATAGAAGCGCAGAATTGTGGAGTTGGAAGAGGGACCCCAAGGGACATCTAGTCCAACCCTCTGCCATGCAGGGCAGGTGCTCTGCCGGGGGGCTGAGGAGCCTCCCCCATCACTGGGGGTTGGGGAGCTTAAGTCCTCGACCCCGAAGCGGCCACGAACTGGAATGGCGCGCGCGCCTGAGAATGAGATCCGGCTTCGCCACCTCTTGGTTCGAAGTTTTCCAGCGGGCGCAGCGGCGAGATCTGTCCCGGGGAGATTCCGCGCTTCCCAGCTCCGCAAAGGGAAGAGGGAAGATGCTGCGGGATTTAAAGCTGGCGCGGGATCGGTTCACAAAGGCGTCTGCCGGGATCCTTTCTCCGGCTCTGCATTTGTGGGTCGAGAGTAGCTCTCCTTGGACGGCCAACACCGATGCCATTTGGTGGATGTAAGGCAGGGATCAGCAACCTTTTTCGGCCGGTCCACCCTCCCTCAGACCATGTAGTGGGTCGGACTATATGGGGGGGGGGGAATGAACGAATTCCTATGCCCCACAAATAACCCAGAGATGCATTTTAAATAAAGGCACGCATTCTAATGTAAAAACACGCAGGTTCCCGGACCGTCCGCAGGCAGAATTGAGAAGGCGATTGGGCCGCATCCGGCCCCCGGGCCTTAGGTTGCCTACCCCTGATGTAAGGTCTTTTAAAGTGCCAGGAAAGGTTCAGGAAAGGGCCGCCCAGGTGATAAAAGGGCCGGAGCGAATCCCCTGAGAAGAAACGCCACGCCGTTTAAGACTTTTTAGTTCGGAGAAAAGGCGACCGGCAGGAAGTCTATAAAATTATGCAATGGCATGGCGCGGAGAAAGGAGAAAGAGAGAAGTTCCACTGCCTCTCTCAGAACAGGAGAAATCGTGGACATCCCGGAAAGCCGAAGGTTGGAGGAAGCAGGACGGATCGAAGCAAGTCCTTCTTCCCGCAGCGCAGAGTTAACCCTCGGAACTCTCTGCCACAGGAGCCAGGGATGGCCATCGCGAAGTTGTCTCCTTACTCTGCCCCGAGGGGAGGGCAGAACCCGCACTCGCCGCTGTTTCTAAACAAACACCTTTTATTGATTTCGTTTATGTATCGCATTTACACCCCACATTCTCAAGATGGCTCTTCCCCTCCTCCGTTAATCCCCGCAACAACCCTGTGAGGTAGGTCGGGACGAGAGGCCGTCACAGCCCGTGAGCTTCATGATGGAGTGGAGGATTTGAACCCTGGTCTCTCCGCTGCCTCTCGCATTTATTCCCGTCGCAGGGCAACTGCTTTTCAAAGGGACGTTTCTCGTGACGGTCATCCCATGTCAGCCGCTTTGGTGAGGTCTGCCCGAAAAGCGGTATATAAATACCTAAAATAAATCAGAGAGGAAGAAATAATACCGCAGAGAGCCCATCTGGGGCCACACAAGGGTTGCTGTTGGTTGAGGGTGGGACGCGCGCGCGCGCACCCATAATACACCCAACACCTTGAGCTTACAAGGGAACTACTGGCTGCGTGATTTGGGGATGCGCGTGACTCTGCAAGCGAGTTTATTTGTCCGGTGAAAATGTGTAGCAATAGCTCTCTCCACGAATGACCAGGATGACACAATTCGGGGTTTCATTCCTACCCCCATTTCTGGATTCTCCTACTTATCCATGCAGACAAACGCCCCGTCATAGAATCGTAGAGTTGGAAGGAACCCCAAAGGTCCTCTAGTCCACCCCGCTGCAATGCAGGAATCTGGTTTAGTTGGAATCTCCTTCCTTGTCGTTTGAATCCACTGGATCGGGTTCTCCCCTCTGAAGCAGAAGGTAAACAAGGTGGCTCCACCCTCCACGTGGCAGCCCTTCAGAAATTCGAAGTCCCTTGGCGGCAGCTGCCCCCCCCTCACCTGCTCGACCTCGTGACGTCAGGTGTCCCCTCTCGTTGCCCTCAAAGAAAACAAAAGCCCCCCCCCCCACCTTGGACCAAAGCGGCTGCGGAGGAATCAGCCCAGAGATTCTTCCCTCGCGGTCAGGCGGTGGGCGGCAGGCGCAGCGCGATCCAAAGCACCTTGCCTCGGAAGCCAGCCCCGTTTTGCGCCCCGGGGGCCTATTAACACAGCTGTCAACTTTTCCTTTTTCTTGCGAGGAATCCTATTCGGAATAAGGGAATTTCCCTTAAGAAAAGGGAAACGTTGACAGCTATGTATTAAGTGCGCCTAGGGAGGGTTTGCAGCTTCTGGAGACTCACGTGCACTAACGCGGTCCTTTTCCGACGTGGCGCTCTGCGCTCCAGGGAGCGATCCGAGGAGTCCGGGCGGAGTTAGGTGGGGTCTTCCTAGGATGTTTCCGAGAGAGGATTCTGCGAGACCCCGAGCACAGGCGCCGGTGCTGGTCTGCGCAGCAGGGCTGTCAATGGGGAGGAGAGAATGGGGCAGCGGCAGAAAAAGTGGGAGCCAGTTATGCTCGACGTCTCCAGAGAGGTAGATACCCAGCGCATCCTACTCAGCTGAGGAGACAATTGCCTCCTTGAGTCCAGAGGGCCAGGCTGCGGCTGCCTCCACCCTAGCTAGCAGAATAAGGTTATGAGAATAGCACCTATGGATCAGGAGAACCATGGAATTAAAGCATCTATAACAGACCTAGACAGCATCTTAAAAAGCAGAGACATCACCTTGCCAACAAAGGCCGTATAGTTAAAGCTATGGTTTTCCCAGTAGTGACGTATGGAAGTGAGAGCTGGACCATCAAGAAGTCTGATCACCGAAGAATTGATGCTTTTGAATTCTGGTGCTGGAGGAGACTCTGGAGAGTCCCATGGACTGCAAGAAGATCAGACCTCTCCATTCTGAAGGAAATCAGCCCTGAGTGCTCACTGGAAGGACAGATCCTGAAGCTGAGGCTCCAAGACTTTGGCCACCTCATGAGAAGAGAAGACTCCCTGGAAAAGACCCTGATGTTGGGAAAGATGGAGGGCACAAGGAGAAGGGGATGACAGAGGACGAGATGGTGGGACAGTGTTCTCGAAGCTACAAACATGAGTCTGACCCAACTGCGGGAGGCAGTGGAAGACAGGAGGGCCTGGCGTGCTCTGGTCCAGGGGGTCACAAAGAGTTGGACACGACTAAACGACTCAACAACAAATAACAGATGGTCACCCAAGCTCTGCTTAGAAACCTCCAAGGAAGCAGGGAAACCAGCAAGCAGGATTCTAGCACAAGAGGCCTCTCCCCGCCTGTGGTTTCCAGCGGCTTGGATTCAGCAGCATCGCACCCTCTAGCTTGTGGAAATGTTCAGGGAGGCAGGAGAGGATATGTTATTTATTAATATCCTTTTTAACTTGCGCTAGCCAGTTTCTTCACTTAGCAGAGTTTTCACATTCCCCTTTTAAACACACAGCGGATAACTGGTTGCAGGCTTGTGTAAGCCTCTCACTATTAGGTTCCTGGTAAGTTCCCTTATACCCCCCTTAAAAGAATAAACACAACACAATCTAGTGTAAAGTATATAAAATAAGTTTACTCACATTCAGTCCACAGCTGGATCCCTGAAGGCAGACTTAGTTACAAAGTATATACATGTGGATCTATCCCATATGGGGATAATCCCAGTGTCCTCTGTTGGCTGGAAGCCAACAGAGCATTTCTCACTAAAAAGCTGCTCCAATGACGGAGGAAGTCAAAAAGAGAGAGTGTGCTGCGTGACTTGTCCTTTTGTTACCTGGACAGGTAAGGTCACGCTCACCTCTAGTCACATGCAAAGGAAGTATGTCCCAGCCAGGAGGAAACAGGAAGTTCTGACTGGCTGGACCAAACATTCCCTCGCATGTCCACTCTAGGAAAACAAGGAATGTTGTACTTGACTGCAACTTATGTATCACATCCCACACAGCTGTGGATGTGGAGGCAGGGCAGAGCCATTGTGGCTATAAGCCATCCATAGCCCATCCTCTTTTAAAGTCATCCAAGTTGGTAGCCATCATTGCTTCCTGTGGGGGGGAGTTCCACAGTTTAACTCTGCTCTGCATCATGAAGAAGTATGCCCAGTCCATTATGCCCAGTCACACGTGAACAAGTGGAACAATCCCACCCACACACCTAAACAATGAGTTTGCTACAATGAGACGACTCCATGGGAGCAATTGGGTGCTACATGGTGGAATGCCATGCCCCCCAACTGGGACTCCTGGACCACAGGTGGGGCTTTGCTCAGGACAACCCCTTAGGCTGAGGCACATAGAGCAGGGTCTCTTCTGTGTTGGCTCCCTGCTTCTGTAGCGCCTTGCCTTTGGTGACTCATACTTCCTTTCCGTTTCAGGGGAACACACTTCATTCATGTGATGCACAATTCAGAGCTGAAAAAAACTTTTGCACAATGTTTTCCACGTTGACAGCTGGGTGGGAAGGAAAAACAGAAATGGGTTTAAATCAGTATACGGCAAAATCCTGTGTTAGGGATAGTTAGGAAAGGAAAAGAAAACCGCTGATTTGATGCCATTATGCAAATCTATGGTGTAGCTACACTTGGAATCCAGTGTACAGTTCTGTTCACCTTTGCAGCCAAATCTAATTGTGTATATTCTTGCAAGCTAGCATGTAAAGGGGTTAGGACCACAGGGGCAGCAATGCTCCTGAATACCAGTTGCTGGAAATTGTGGGATGGGATGGGAGAGGGCTCTTGTGTCTGGGGTTGTGGCGCTCATCTCGCTTTATTGGCAGAGGGAGCCGACGTTTGTCTGCAGACAGCTTCTGGGCCAGCATGACTAAGCTGCTTCTGGCGAACCAGAGCAGCGCACAGAAACGCCGTTCACCTTCCCGCCGGAGCGGTACCTATTTATCTACTTGCACTTTGACGTGCTTTCAAACTGCTAGGTTGGCAGGAGCTGGGACTGAGCAATGGGAGCTCACCCCGTCAAGGGGTTCAAACCGCCGACCTTCTGATCAGCAAGTCCTAGGCTCTGTGGTTTAGACCACAGTGCCACCCACATCTCGTTAGCACTCGTGGGGTGACATAAAACCATTGTCTCAATCTGAGCTGAAGTGAAAAGAGTCTAATGTTGTTATTGGTTCTAATTCAGATTTATCCTGTTGGGATCACAGAAGTAGAGTTGGAAGGGACCTTGAGGGAATCATAGCTAAAGCATCCCTGACAGATGACAATCCAACCTCTGCTAAAAACCTCTAATGGAGTCTCCCTTTGAAATTATTCTGGGGGAGAACAGCAACTCATGGTTCATCAGCAGAGTCCAGGGAGGCGAAACGGATTTCCTGACAGTTTCTGAGTGCTGCCCTTCCTGACGTCAGATCTGTGCCCGTTTGGGAAAGGAGAATGACTCAACATGCCTTCATTCCACTTGGCAGCCCATCAGGCCGTAGTCCTGTGTCCCAGCTGAGCATTTTGCAGGAGAGCGGAAGCGATGACATGCCCGCTACTCACCGAGTAACAGGAAAGCCCGGCATAATCCTGCCCTGCTGTTGAAATCAAGCGGGATCACGAGGCTGTATTTTGGACGTTGTGTTCTCGACTCTCATTCCTGCAAAGCAGGCAGATTCCCTGTAGGAGATGAGTTTGGAAAGAGTCACTGACAGGCAGAAGTCCAGAAATCAGGATCTGCATTTCCACATTGTGGCTCCCCCCTTTTTTGCTGTTATTGGTGGGGAAAGCGGCTGCCGATTCATGCACTTTATGGGATGTTGCTGTTCCGCAATTGCGCTTGGCACTCGGTCCCTCCCCACGGAGCTTGGCTGAGGTGCTGGACCAACCTCCTACCTCCTGCGTGGAATTCTTGTGGCTGCCCCTGCCGGGCTGCTAGGCCTCACTGCAGAGCCAAAAGGGTTGCATGACACATGATACTTGGATGCTCAACACGGAGCGTTTTTGGAAGGGCTGCCAGGGGTTGGAGCAGCTGCAGCGCCGTGTGGCTTCTCAGGAGGGCCACATCCAGCCAGATCATCCTGCCTCTGCAAAGGACTGCATAAGTCAGCTGGCATCCTTTGCAAGGTACGGTAAGCAGGGCCAGGCAAGCGGTTCAGGGCTCTCTTACTTTGCACGGAGACATCCGGGCTTTTTGTGGGGAAGGAAGCCAGTGGTGTCCCAAACCAGTCCTTGTGGCTCTGTCTTGCAGGGATAGGCCTCAGCTTGAAGTCCTCAGACTTCTCCTTGTCCCTTTTCTGCTGCTTTGCTTCAAGCAGCCTCGTCATTTCCCGGCAAAAGTCAGAATGTCCTCCACATTCCCGAGGCCATAAAACACTAAGTGGCCAGTCTCGGTCTCGTGGGCGGCTGCGAAAGAGTTTTTAGAGCTGCTGGCTTGCATTTCGACTCTGGTCAGACTTTCCAAAGACTCCCTTGTCGTCTTGGAGGCCAGGCAGGAAAGCCAACACACGTCCTCCTCCGTGTGAAAGGAGAAAACCAGAGACTTGCACAAACGTCCCATCATCCCTTGCCACAGGTGAGGGATGCTCGCACGCAAGATGCTCACCTGGGGAACATGTGTGCTTCCTCATAACCCGAGCTCACCATCCTCTGCACTTCGCGCAATTCAGGTGTGCTTCATGTTTTCTTTTGGGCAAAGCTTTTCAATTTCGTTTTATAACATATATGAAAACAGAGCAGTTTTAACAGCAGATGAAAATCAAAAGATGAAAATCCAAACAACGAAACAGGCATGTAGAATGAGTACAGGTGCACACGGGTTAAAATAACCAACTAAAGAATGTCAATGTTATCTGATTATCGTATTGTTCCAGATTTGCCAGCCTTGTGAGGGTTGACTTGAAAATGATGGTTCCATTGTATACGTAATAAAGGAATGCCAGATAATATTAAAAGTGTCTGGGAGTTCTAGTCCTTGTCAAAATCTCACATTATACATAATTTTCTCCATTACAGCTCTATTTGAGAGTTCATCAAGCATCCAGAGCCAGATTTTGGGCTGTTTTCCATTGAGTAGCAATTATTTTGTCCATATATCTTACACTGGTATCATCAAAATATTTAGTAACATTAATTTTGGACAACAAACAATAGTTTCTTCAGTAAGATTTATAATTTCCATCCCAATTAAAATAAAAAATCTTGTGCCAACTTACATTCCTACCATATTCTATAATATGTACCAAGTTTATCGCAACCTCCCCAAAAACTGGGTGATATTTTTGGAAGGCTGAATAAGGGGGTTGGTTGCCATGGACCTGGACAGAGTTTGAGCAGATTCCTTTTGTGGTCCACTTCCGCTGGAGGAATTTGCCCCATGATATGTTACTAGAAAGGCCACCACCTGCTATCTACAAGTAAAATGAAGAAGAGGAAGAAGAAGAAGAAGAAGAAGAAGAAGAAGAAGTATTATGCCCCGCTCATCTGGCTGCGTTTCCCCAGCCACTCTGGGCAGCTTCCAGCAGATCATTAAAAACAGAATAAAACATCAAACATTAAAAACTTCCCTAAACAGGGCTGCCTTCAGATGTCTTCTAAAAGTCAGATAGTTGTTTATTTCCTTGACATCTGGTGGGAGGGCGTTTCACAGGGTGGGTGCCACCACTGAGAAGGCCTTGTGCCTGGTTCCCTGTAACTTCATTTCTCGCAGCGAGGGAACCGCCAGAAGGCCCTTGACGCTGGATCTCAGTGACCAGGCTGAAAGATGGGGGTGGAGATGCTCCTTCAGGTATACTGGGCTGAGGCCATTTAGGGCTTTCAAGGTCAGCACCAACACTTTGAATTGTGCTTGGAAACGTACTGGGAGCCAATGTAGGTCTTTCAAGACTGGTGTTATGTGGTCTCGGCAGCCGCTCCCAGTCACCGGTCTAGCTGCCACATTCTGGATTAGTTGTAGTTTCCAGGTCACCTTCAAAGGCAGCCCCACGTAGAACGCATGGCAGTAGTCCAAGCGGAAGATAACTAGAGCATGCACCACTCTGGTGAGACAGTCTGCAGGCAGGGAGGGTCTCATCCTGCGCACCAGACAGCTGCCCTGGACACAGAACTGACTTGCGCCTCCATGGACAGCTGTGAGTCCAAAATGACCCCCAGGCTGCGCACCTGGTCCTTCAGGGGCACAGTTGCCCCATTCAGGACCAGGGAGTCCCCGTCCCCCCACTCGCCTGCCCCCTGTCCCCTGTTAGGGGGAGCTTTTGAGGGTGTCTTGGTGCATGGGGATGAATGTCTCTTGGAGTTCCCAGGAGCCAGAAATAACACCTGTTCCACAGACCTTGGGATGCCTGTGCCTTGGATGAACATTAGGGCGACTTCCAGGACCGTATCTTAACAACCATTTGATGGCAAGCCTGTTGCAGGTGCTTGGAGCTTTGTGCTCTTCAGCTGGGCAGGTGCCACAGGGATCTCCAAGTTCAACGGCCTCAGAACAGAAGCCAGAAGTCCATCTACTCCAGCATTCTGGATTAGCAGCCAGACAGTTGCTCCCAGGCTGCGAAGATCACAGCAAGCCGTCATTGACGGGATGCTAGGCTAGATAGATCTTTGGCCTGAGTTTGTCTTGTGAAGGCAGTTGTCCTCTTCTGATGCTCTTCCTAGAAGGCTGTGCTCAAAGGTTGACTGCCTCTGAACATGGAAGGACCTGCCATGGCTAATAGCTGTTGATGGACGTCGTCTCCATGGCTATGCCTGAAAACAGACAAACAGTGTTGCCAGGCAACACAGCATGTGAGGCTCGCAAAATGCTCTGCGGATGTGACACAGACCCTGTCCAGGAGCTTTGCTGTCCAGGTGAGCTGAGCAAAGATGAAAGGGCAGAGAGCTCACCAGGACAAGCTTCAGGGAAGTGCCTGTGGACAGCAACCAGCGAGTGAGCGTTATCTCGCTTTATGGCAGTCTTGCGCTGCAACTTCCTGGGCTCTGCGACATCAGAGGCAGCCCGTGAGGATCGACGAGAAGGACAAATACCTGTGAATCAGAGACTATGGCCAGTTCATGCGGGTTGAACGTTCCCCTTACTTTATTCTTAATGTTAGTTTTATGCATTTGTTTATTTATTAATATTAGTATTTTCATTTCTATACCACTTTATATTTTTAAGAAAAACCTCAAAGAGATTTATAGCATATTAGACATCAATAAAACAATGCAGAATCAAACATTTCTGAAGAAGGTCAAATATAGAGTGTACAGTCAAAGCAACGTAATTAACAGGAAAATAAAATATTAAAGATTTCAAAATAATGCATTACAAAGGAGGTCAACTGCAAAATACATATTAAACACAAACCAAGTTAACAAAAAAAAATCTTACACATTTCAAAAGAAAACCTTGCTAAGTGAAGTCAAATATAAAATGCACATTTAAAACAGCATGATTAACAAGAGAATAAAATATTATCATAATCATGACACGGCTGTTTGGCAGGCACAAAAAGATGGGGCAAAAGAATCCAATAATTCGGATTTGTTGTCAGGCATAGCACTGTCCCTCCAGTCTCCCCAGGAACCTCTTTGGTGGAGCTGGTGGATGTGGGCTATGGCTGTCAACTTTTCCCCTTTTTTTAGGGGAAATTCCCTTATTCTGAATAGGATTCCTCGCAAGAAAAGGGAAAAATTGACAGCTATGGTGTGGGCCCCGCCCCCCCTAGGCCAGGTGGAAAGGGCCTTGCAGGGAACAGCCTTCAAGACTCACAGCCGGGCAATGTTTATTGTGTCATTATCATTTATTGTGTTATGGCAGGGTTGGGGTGAGTCTGGATGATGCCCTGATGGCCTTCCAATTTGGGTGTGTGTGTGTGTGTGTGTCTGGTGCCCAGTGCGGGTTAGGATCTAACCAAGCAAGTTGCTGAACTGGTCACGCAAGTTTCTTTGCAAGACAATGACCTCCGCTGGCCTCTTAAGTGTCCTCATCAGTATCCCAAAAGAATGGAAATAAAGAAAAGGATTAAAAAGTTGTCCAGTAGCACCTTAAAGACCAACTAAGTTTGTTCTGCTTATGCACATGAAAGCTTATATCCAGAACAAACTTAGGTGGTCTCTAAGGTGCTACTGGACAATTTTTAATTTTTATTTACTTATTTCGACCGCGTCAGACCAACACGGCTACCTACCTGAACCAAAAGAATGGGTTCCGTTGCAAGAGCTACAGCTAAGTGAGGGAGCCCTCCAGGTTAACGGATGGGCCTTTCCTCCACGCCCTCATCTAGGTACACAAGAGACACAATAGTGTGTGAGAGAGCAGAGTTGGAAGCAAGTTGGAAGCTGGAGAAACAGAGACTTGCTTGATCTGTGCTGAATCCAAAGCTGTGAATAATGGAGAAGGAAGAGCTTTTGGGGTGTTAATGCCGTGGGCCCCTCTATCGTCTTCTCAGGTTGTATATATGTGTCAATAAAACCAGATATACTAAAGACACCACCATCTCCGCTGACCTTCGTAAGAGCCTGGAACCCCCAGAGTCTCTCGCTGCTTGGAGACTGGAATGGAGAGTAACAGTATTTCACTTGTTCTACTCTGCCTTGTGATGCCCTT